CCTCCCTGGTGGCACAAGGGGTTTAAGTGCAACACTATGAAGCTATGCCCAGCCACTGAAGCACAAGTTTGATCCCTAGCCAGGGAGCTGACCTACATGGCATGGCAGACCTCTCCTGTCTTACCAGCTGCTCCCTTCAGCAGTCTATGTCAGGCAATCTATCTGTTCTGTTCCCCTCTATCACCAGTGAATCCTCCCACCCAACACCTCACACCTGTGGCCTGTACCCTAGTTCTTGTATGCATAAGTAAAAATAAAAAGAATTATAAGCACAACTGGAGGTGGTAAGAGACCAAATATTAGTCAATATTTCATCCATGACTTTTTAATCTTTTTAAGAGAGATTTGTTTATTTATGCATATAGAACTGGGGTACAGGTCAGAGGTACAGGGGCGGTGAGAGGATTCACCAGAGACAGGGAGCAGAACAGGCCAACTTAGAAAGTACATTGCTGAGGGGAGCAGCGGGCGGGTCAGGGGAGGTCTGCCGTGCCATGTGGATCACCTCCAGGGCAGGCGGGGATCGAACTCATGCTGAAGTGGGTTTAGCTTCTTAGTGCTGTGCTTTAACCCACTGTGCCACCAGGGAGGGCCTCATCCATGACTTTTTAAAAAGTGTGCATCAGGGGAATCTCTCCAAGAGCACCAACACTCATTTTTAGCAGCTAGGACACACTGCAAAATAAATAATGAATGAATGAATGAATGAATGAATGAATGAATGAATGAATGAATGAATGAACGAACGAACGAATAATAGCCCTCTGGGACCTTTTAGTATTGTCTCCGAATGGGGAGAAAGTTGGCACAAGAGGATGCAGGAGGTGCTGAGCTAACAGAGGGCCCAGCTGTACCATTCCCCGTAGCAAGTGCTGTGTGCCATACCCTCCTAGGACCAAGCAGGCCAGGCTCCAGGGATCCACCTGTCCTGGGTTCCCTCCCCTGTGCTCAGTGCAGGTGTGCATCTCTCTAAGTGTGGTTTCAAATGAGTTGCAGTGATCTGCCCATCCAAGATGAAACTTGCTGTAGTTTTGATAAGGGAAATATGAAGTTGACCACAGATAGTGCAGGGTGTCCCTGTCTCAGGGAGGTTGACACCATCTGGGTGACTATGATTGAACCTACTTTCTACAGCCTTCAGGCCCCTCTCTAATTCTTCTTCATTAACAGGCAATAAAATAAAAGCCCTGATTATATACAAGTTAGTCAACAACTGCTATTGATTCCATGGACTTTCCACTAATTGACCTGCAAGGCCCTAATCCCTCTTCTTTCAAAAAGCTGCATCTCTGTCAGCATCCCAATCTTGTTGCCAACACTGTCAAGAAACAGGCTACTTGCAAGTTAGCCTGCTGGAACCCCATGGATGCTAGTAAAATACATGATAGTCCTAACTTAGAGCAAAGGAGTTTATCATTGCAATAGTAGTAGCCAGAGTACCAGCATTTCTTGTATATTCTTCAAGCCCCAGTTCCCAAGGGCCCAGGGAGACTGCACTGGTAGTGGTTGTGTTACAGGTGAGGAAGCCTGAGTTTAAAAAACCTGCAACTTTTATAACAGGCAATACATCTTTACCCTGAAGGAAGATGATGTCATGTATTCTAAAGCTATTTGTGGGCCCTCCCTGATGGTACAACAGGTTAAAGCACAGCACTATGAAGCTCTCTACATCCAGGTTGATCCCAGGCCAGGGAGGTGACCCACATGGCACAGCAGACCTCTCCTATCTCACTCACTGTTCCCCTCCACAGTGTATTTCAATTATTCTGCCTGTTCTGCTCCCCACTCTGTTTCTGGTGAATCCTCTCACCCCCTGCACCTCTGGCTTGTACCCCAGTTCTTGTATGCATACATAAATAAATCATTTTTTAAAATTTAAAAAAAAAAGCTATTTGCTAGGTGAACATCCTGGACAGGTAGTTCAGAAAGTGCCTCTGTTCATGGGACATGGAGAAATACAGTCACCTGTGGAGAATTGCTTCCCAACTGTCCACTGCAATTACTGCGCAAAAATGTTACCAGCTCACCCTTCTACCCCATCTGGTTGGGAGGTTGTCTGGTGAATTCTGCTGACATCAGAGCTTCAAATGCCTACTTAATGATGACCTATGGTGCTGAAAAGAACAGGAAAGATTTAAATGGGTGTCATTAAAGACAGTTGCCAACAACTCTTAGGTTTTATCAGGCAGCTATTAGGTATCAAGTACAGTTGAAATAGACAGGATGGTGTGTGTGTGGGGGGGGGATGGCACAAGGCAGGTGTGGAGGTGCTCCTATACAATGGTGACATTGAGCAGAACCCTGAGGGAGGAAATAGCAGGTACAAAGGCCCTGAGGGGTGAAGAATTTTGACAGATGAATCAAGGGAAGATTAGGTTAGGGTTCTTCTTGTGGGTTGATTTTGAGGGTGAAATGAGATATGGGGCTCTCTCTGGTAGGACAAGAGGTTAAAGCACAGCACTATGAAGCTCAGCCACTGTAGCACAAGTTCGATCCCTGGCCAGGGAGCTGACCCACATGGCGTGGCAGACCTTTTCTGATCTACCCGCTGCTTCCCTCAGCAGTGTATTTCAGTCAGTCTGCCTGTTCTGCTCCCCACTCTGTCTCCACTGAATCCTATCACTCTCTGCACCTCTGGCCTGTATCCCAGCTTTGTATGCATAAATAAATCTTTGGGGAAAAAAAAAAAGAAATGAGATAGAGACATCAAGCCACTGTAGAATCAAGGATCTCCAGACAGCTTGGGAAGACTGCCTCACCAGATGTCCCAGGGCTGGGGGAAGCCCAGGATTTAACCAGGGCTGGGGAGATCCTCAGGCAGCAGTATTCAGGATGCATGTCTGGGCAGACAGCCAGAGAGCAACAAAGGAATAGGCCAAGGGGAGTAGAGAATGGGGAAGTCGCTTGAGACCCTCGTGCTGGGCCCCGGAGAGTCTCAGTCTCCCTTTCCTGACACGGAGATTTCTCCACCAACATTCAAGTCCATGATGGTCCCATCAACCAGAAGAGTGGTGACATATGGGTATTTTCCTATGTTTCTCAATTATCTTCTGGAAGGGAGAGGGGTGTCCCCGGACACTGTGATGGGGCAGGTCAGATGGAGGCACACTGCAAGAAGAGCGGGAGGTGCCCTCTTATGTGTCCAGGGTACATGCCAGCCTTCTATGGGGAGGCAGCCCCAGGGGCCAGGGGCAGCTATCTCTGGCTTCAGAAACCAGAGCTTTCTTCCTGACTCTGGCTTGGTTACCCCCACAGGGCCCCTGGGATTGCTCCTAACCATGTCCTGACATGAGGGTTGGGAAAGCAGCTATGACAGTTTGGGTCTGTTTATAGCTCAGTGGATGAGGTCCTGGGTCCAGTTGCTCCCTTCTCTGGACTGTGGTGTCCCTCCCCTCCCTGTCCTCCCTGCCCACCTGGACTAGGTCAGTGATTAACCCAAGGGTCATTGCATTTCATGGAACGACAATGTCACACAAAAATAATCTATAGCCAAGTAATTTGGGGGACACTGGATGATTAGAGTTCCCTTGCCACAGGATTATACAGAAACTTTTCCGCACATCCTAAACTCCAGAGGGTATGTAGCATGTGATGTTCACCAGGTGGCCTGTCCAGGGCACCTCATTATTCAGGACTTCTCACCCCTGGCATTCTGAAAGGCGTGCCTCTAGATACGTGACTTAAGATGATCCCCAGAGGAATTTCTAGTTCTTTTCTGAAATTTGAAAAATGGAACCCCACCCCACCCCACCCTCCATTGCCATTGCAATGCCCAGCCTACCTCCAGGCTGCCCCTGCATGCTCTCTGGACAAGCAGCTCCATCCAGAACTCAATATACCACCCACTTTTGTCCCTCCTGCTTTCACAGGGCCTTCATTCTGACATATTTCTCCCATAATTGCGTTTAGTGGCCCTCAGAGGCTCCACACCAGACTCATGTCTGCTCCAACACATGACATACTCATTCAGGATGGAGTCCTTTTCTTAGGGTGGGCAGAAGGTGAGCACTGAAGTGCCAAGAGGGGTGAACTCACTACCAGCGTTAACACACTGCTGGCTGTATACATGCAAAATACAGGCTGTCCTGCCTGGCACACTCGGGCTGGACCCCTGCCACACCCTGTCCAAAGGTGACTACAGTGCTGTCTCCATTTGGAATAGGGAAGGTCAGAACTCCTTGGGCAGGCAGACAGGGCAGCAGTCATTCAGAGGACGGGCCAGAGACAGGGAGACCGCCTACGCCAGCTCCCTGTAGAAGCTGGGGCAGGGCTGAGGCTGCTGGATAATGCAGGGCTTCCCATCACTTCCTGCAGAAGTAGAATTCTAATTGAATGAATTTGACAGTAGTCCAATAGTTGGCAGATAAAGGGAGCTGCTGGTTGGGGGTAGAGGATGCAGGGAGGGTGCACAGTGGAACCCCATACTGTGGCTTCTACTCTCCCTTCACAGCCCTGTCCCCTACCCATGGCTGTGTCCCCAGTGCCTGCTCCAAGAATCAGTCAAGTCAGCTTCCCAAGCCCGTCTACCTCCAGCACTGCCACTGGGGCCTTCCATAGGCATGGAAATCTGAACACAAGTGCTGCGGGCATGAAAAATGAAATACGGCCCTCCCTGGTGGTGCAAGGGTTAAAGCGCAGCACTGTGAAGCTACACGCAAGCACTGCATTGAGTTCAATCTCTGAGTTCAATCTCCGGTTGGGGAGGTGACCCACATGGGGTAGCAGACCTCTTGTGACTCCTGCTGCTCCCGTCAGCAGTGTATTTCAATAGATCTGCCTGTTCTGCTCCCCACTGTCTCTGTTGAATTCTCTCACCCCCCACACCTCTGCCCTGTACCCCAGTTCTTGTATGTATAAATAAATCTTAAAAAAAAAAAACAAAACTGGATTCTAGTTCTAGCTAAAACCAGGTATAACAAGCCAAGGACCCCATTTTCCATGTGCTCACGCATCTGAGGACTTGAAGGCAAGAATTCACAAAGGTAGGGGTACAATTATTTTGCAGTGACAATGTTTATTGAGAATGGCTCATTACAAACAAAATATATTTATGTATAAAATCTCTGCAATGCAAAAGATCCCTTTTGTCCCTGTGTGGCTGGAGTGAAGACGTCAATAGTCCAGTGTGGCTTCAGGGGTTGCACTGGGCCCCAGTGTGCAGACAGGGGGCTGAGGGTGCCATGTGCTGTGGGCAGAAGCTCCTGATGTCTGGACTCTTCCAGCCTGCCTTTCATGACATGCGCAAGAACACGACACTGTTTGCACAACACTCCCCCATCAGCTGGCACCACCTCGGGGCAGGCAGCTTTTCTCGTAACCTTCCAGGTGGGTGACATCTAGCTTGTGGCTTGCCCTGAGAAGCCTCCTCCAAGGCCGGGGCCAATTTCGGTGTCCCATGATGGACTGAGGTATTGTGACCACTCTCCTGGTAGAGGCTGTTCCCATGCTAGACCTACTGGCACGGCTGTCATGTCTCTCATGCAGCCACTGTGGAAGCTTGGCTACCTCACTGCTTCCCTCTGTACAGCTATTTTCACTGGATTCTCCTGAGAATGCCCAAACCCCCACAGCTGTCACACAGGAAACTTGTGGAACTGGAGTTCCCCGGGATCCTGGGCCACCCAGCATTAAGGCAACAGATATGAGACCAGTCCGAGGGCAACACTAGTCTCTGAAACCCAGGGTAGCTGCCCAGTTAGCAGTGCCTCCCTCTTGACCCAAGGAGGCCTCTGGTGTTGAGGAGCAACTGGCTGGGTAGTCTGACAGTCCTGTAAACAGGACCCAACGCAGCTTCTCAAGCAGCCACCCGGGTAGGGCCAGGGGCTGATGGAGGCAGATGCTGAGTGTGGCTTACAGTCTGGGAGGGGCAGCAGCTGCACTGCATCATGCCCTCAGCACTGCTCGACCAAGACACAGGGGTGCAGGGTGGTATGACTACTGAGGCATCCCTGGTCCTCTGGGAACGATTCATTCATTCCCTTGGGAATGATAATTATCCTTATTTTTCAGGTGCAGACCTAGGTTTAAGATGAAGCACGACTACTTCCTGGCAAACTTCACAGACTGGGCCGACTTTGTAAGATAATGGGCCTGGATACTCAGTCCGCCTCATGGTGAGTCCCCTTCTCTTTGGAAGAGACATTGAGATGGCTTACCTGGCTCATGAAAAGAGGTGTCAGTGGTTCCAAAGTACCTGCAAACTCACTATTATTATCTCACTTGTGGGAGGGGGTGGGAAGAGGAAGAGAACAGCTCCAGTTCATGATTCATGCCACGTGATCCTGGGCAAGTACCCTTCACTGTCAAAACAGAAGAGAACCAACGTCTTTACAAGGCTGCGGCGTGAACTCCAGAGTGGATGGGAAGCCATAGGCTTCCTCAACATTGCTTCAGGAGCACAGCACCCAGCCCTGGCGATTCTGGCTCCTCCCACTCAGGACTTAGGCTACTGTGATAGGCCTCAAAGTATGTCTGCGGGGAGGGGGGAATCCTTGGGGTTCAGGCAGATGTTCTGGTCCTTGGTCAGGCATTCCTGGAGCACGCTGAGCATCGCCAGCCCACAGACCCTACCTACCAAGCCTGCCTAATACCCTCCACCCTGGAGGTCTGAGTACCTGGGGAGTTTCAGAGTCCTCTTTGCCTGAGGTCCAGCCCTCCACAGGGCCAAAAGACAGTGCAACCAGCCCACTAGGGCTACTGGGAGGGGCAATGGCATCCATCAAAGAGGACAGGGGGTCTGCAGCACTTCCAGGGAGAGGGCTGAGGGCAGTTCCTATCAAGGTCTGGTGCAATCCACAGCCCTGGCAGTTGGGCTAGGCTCCAAACGCACAGATGCTGTCCTGACAAGTAGCATCTCTCTTTAGCAGTCAGTCCCTGTCTCAAAGACATGGGCTCGGGTCTCCCCCCACCCTAGGGTCTGGATCATAGACAAGAAGGGCACCAATAGGCTGGATATTCCCTGGGCTTGGAAGGAGTCAGGCTCAGAGTCCGGGGGAGGCCCTGCCTCCAGCCACTAGCAGGTGTGGGGGTTAAGTGGCGTGATGATTCTCAGCAGTGGCAGATGAAGCAGGCATGCTGTGGTCTCCTCGAGTTCCCTAGAGCTTCATCACACTGGCTCAAGCAGTTTTGCATTACAACTCCAACAGCCCCAGGCCCGGGCATGGCCTCCTGAGTAGCCTCAGCTGGACAGGGTAGAGTAGGATCCAAGGGCCTGGGGACACCAGGCTCCTGCCGTCAGCTGTCCAAGTAGACAAAGAGGATGTCCTCGTCTGTGCCATAACTAGTTCTGGCTTCCTCAAAGTTACTGACACTGGCGCTGCACATTCCTGCTGGGGGTGAGAGGGCAGAGGGTCAGTGGGTGCAGGAAGAACATTGGCTTCACTGGTCCCGGGGAGCTGGGGAAGGTCTGACTATGTTGCACCTGCCTGGCCACCTCGCCCTTCTCAGGTCTTCCACGCCTGCAAGTTCCTCCTTGCCTGCTGCAGGCCTCATCGTTTCCTTCTCGAAACTCTCCCCCATTTAACAGATGGAGAAAGTAAAGCCCAGAGAGGGGATGAAACATGGTCAAGGACATACAGGGTAGGAATGTGAGGTGTTCCCCTTCTTCAGTCTGGAGCAAGCGCAGGGGCTGTCCTGGGAGAGGTGGATTCGGGGACAAAGGGGAAACTGCAGTCTTTGCAGAACAAGATGGTGAGCCGGGGCTCTGGGCGGCAGCATGGGACTAGCAGTGTGGGAGGGACAGATGGCCTGGGCATGCGGAGGCCCTGGGACGCCGGGTCTGTGGTTGGTTTGCTATATAGTCGGACGGTAGCACGAATGACACGAGCCCAGGAGAGTGGATGCTTTGGGAGAGCTGAGGAGGAAGACCTTGGCCACATCAGCCTGAATGGGAAGGAGTGATGTGGGCAAGGCATCTGAATGCAGGCCCTTGCCACCATCGTCCTGCCATACTCACGATCGGCGTAGGCTGGGTTGTTGTAGAAGATGCAGCCAGTGGTCCGGTTGTAGCCACGCAGCACGATGAAATGGCCCTGGTACTCTGGCGTGCGGCAGAAGCAGCGGTGGCTGCTGGGTGTAAAGCAGCAGTACTTGACGGGGCTAGAGCAGAGGTCGCAGTGCAGCACCCCTGAGTTCACCAGCACAATGGCCACGTGGCCCTGTGCCAGGTGTGCCTGGATGTCCTGTATGCTCACCGTGCTGTGGACAGAGGGAGGGTCAGCTGGTGCTACTGGGCCCCACTGCCATCACTCAAGTGGGATGGTCCCACTTGGACCCCTGTACTTCCATATGTCCCAAAGCTGGGAGCAATGCTTCTCTATGCCCTGAGCTCCCTGCAGTTGGGAATGACCTACTTTGACATGGGGGCTCAGGACCCATGAAGACACGGAGGATGCCAAATAAGCTGGCCCTGTCAGGCTCTTCATGGGGTGGCAGGTCAGGTCCTAGTCAAGCACCATGAGAGCAGCACACAGGACTCCCACCTCCTAACCTGGTCAATGAATTCTTTTTGCCAATTGCCCTCCTTGATCCTTTCCCCCACTCATGTGTTTTATACTGGAAAACTATCAGCCCAATTTGATTCCCAAATCTGAGCCAAGCATGTCTTCACCAGCTTTAAAGCCAAGTGCTTTTTGCAAAGGGCTCTTTTTTTTCTCGGCGCTCCTTGTCAGGGGAGGGGCTGTCAAGGCAGGTCTGACCAGCACCACCTGCTGGGGGAACCCCCAGTTCAGCAGTTGGCTGCCTAGAACAAACCTTTGAGGCCAATTGGTGTCCCCCAGAAGGCAGCAAGTTCAAATAAGAATCTAGAAAGGGAGAAGGACTGGGCAGGGGGTCCCCAAAGCCAGATGTGCAACTACCCTCAAGGGTGGGGATGCTCTCCCACTTGGGTCTTCCTTCCTGAGAACTCTCTTCAGGCGTGGCAGTGAGAGCACTGCGTGGCCGGGACAACAGCCAAGGCACACTGGTGCTTGGTTCGCTGCTTCAGCCCCAAAAGACAGGCCATTTTCCCATTTGGTCTCTGAAATGAAATGACTGGCTGAGTCCCACAGGTGTGTACGAGAGTGGCATTTCAGTTGCAGGAAGAAAGGAGGGGCTCTGCGGGAAGGAAAAGCAGCAGGCTTCATGGAATAACCTGGTATGGAGGTGCTGGGTTCAAACCATAGCACTGCTGAGAGCTGTTTTTCCCTTCCTCAGTTTCCCTGCCTGAGGAATGGGGACAGCACCAGCGTCCCACTCAACAAGACTACAGCTGTCAAGTGCCTCTAAATAAAGACCTGCTGCCTTTCCTGCTAAATGTGCTCATGTGGTCAAAGATTATGTCAACACTCCCCCCTCCAATTTTCCAACTCACCCATTCTTGGCTATACTGTGTTAATGAAAACTGACATCTGTAAAGATTAGGGAGACCTGAGCTAACTGGTCTAGGGATGTCTGTCTGGGAGCTGAGCCAGCAAGCCTGAGGGAGCCCAAGCGAACCTGGAGAAATAGTCTCAGGGCTGCCGGAACCTGTGCCCCCCACCTCCAGCCCCGCCCTTATCTAGATGAGAAAGGGGAGACCCATGTAAGGCCTGTGAGCTGGGCCTTCCTAAGCAACCTATCGTGCTGTCCCTAATACCCTCCATCGCCATGCCAACATACCCCTCTGCTATCACACCATCACAGGGAGCAGCCACCATCCTGTGAGCAGCCCAAGGGCAGGCTAGAGTCTGTCTTGCTCACCTGCCTCTCCAGTCCCTGCTCAGGACCAACCCAAGACCAGGGCTTTGGGTATAGTAAGTCAAGTAGCCCCTGGTCCTATTTTATGGATGAAAAAAACAAGTTTGGGGTGGGCAAGTCACTACCCATGGCCTCCTGGGTAGGAAACCCACTCTGCCTGACTTACGAATCCCAAGTCTTTCTCACAGGCCATCTTGAGGCCTCTACCTCTGCAAGTCTGGGTTAGCAAATAGAAAAATGAAGGTACACGGAGGCTCACCATTTTTCCACCAGCACCTTGCAGGCCTTGGCTTGTGTGAACAGCTGATTTACCCGGGTCTCCTCTGTGTCAAAGTGTTTCCTATAAAAGGACTAAAGAGAAAAGGGCAGGCTGGAGGGTGTCACCCATCCTGGCTACCCTCGCCCCTTTGGATATGTGAAGAGCATGTGATGGAGTCAAAGACAGCAAGAGAATGGAGATGGCGCAGGCAGCATGCCTGAGGAGAAAGCTGTGTCTGCCCCAAGCTGGCAGAGTGGCTGGCCAGAGAGCACAGGAGATGGGTGGGCAGTCAGCCTCAGATTGGAGCCCCTGGGGAGGTTGGTCACACCTGGGCTTAAGTTAAGTACCTGGTCGGTACGAGTAGGAATCAGCAGTAAGGTGTAAAGGGGCGGTTAAGTCCGCCTGGACACTCAGCTAAGCCAGGGGAAGCCGGTGAAACATATTTTAATGCAGGGGACTTAAAAATGTTAGCACTCTAGTGGGGGAAACAGAGAAGACCTTTTTCTCTGTCCCGTGGTTAGATGGTCAGAATGTTCTAGTCTGGAACATTCAAAGGAGAAGTTGACCAGCACTGGCCATCATGCCATAACCTCTCGCCAACAAGGCCAGCAGTGACTCTGTTCTGCCAAGTTTCAGAGTCTGGGACGAGATCTGCCTTGTTGCAGGCAGGACCAGCTTTCGCTGTGCAGGGAGGGAGACTACACTGATGTGTTGGCGAGGCTACCTCAGCATTCTTTCTCAGAAAGAAAACATTGAGGTTTTTTTTTTCCAGAATACCAATTAATCAGCTTGAAGCGGGGTGTCTTGTGAAAAGAAAAAAAAGGGTAAGCGATGGCCAGACAAGGTCAGAACAATGTGCTTTGGGGCCCCAGGCCCTGCCTTGTGCTGAGGGGTGGCAGGGAAGGACACAGGAAGCCAGCCAAAGAGGCTTCTCTGTATAGCCTCAAGAGCAGTCAAAGGCTGGCAGGAGGTGCTGGGAAGGATCCAGCTCTCTGCAGAACCTCTCTGCAGAGGGCACTAGGAACCTCAAGGTCACCTGGTCTGAACAGCTCCTAAGTGCTGCCTGCAGCAGATTTGACACTGCCCCGGTCTCTCCACATCTGTGAGCTGACTGCACCTTCTTCCAATGCCTGGACTGGGGAGGGTTAGCTGCTCACCTGGTTTTTGTAGCCCTTGTCAACGCCCAGGGTCTGGGTACAGAAGCGGTGCCTCACACCAAAGTGGCGCATCAGGTAGGCCAGGTCAATGGTCCAGATGCTTCTGGTCAGCTGCAGCTCCTGCAGCGCACGCTCGAACTCACTGTCGTCCAGCTGGCCCAGGTACCTGTAGGCAGTCAGGCTGCTGAAGATGCCTCATCCTCCGGGGAAGCTGACTGGCTCACTTCTTACCTTTTGGCCCATCAGCCACCGTCAGACCTCTCACTCCCCAAAAGACTCCAACCTCGTATCTCCTACTCTCGTGCTGCCTGAGGGCCATGCTGGCCCTGGAACCGAGGGCCTAGGTTCAAATCTCTTGCAGGTTGTGTGGTGTGGAAGTCACCACTTCCTCTGGCCTCACTAGCTGCACCTCTGGCCTCACTAGCTGCACCTAAGTTGAGGTGTTAGGACCACATTCGTGGTTTTCTAAGTTTAGTCAGAGTCTCCATTTTTAATTCTGCATGGAAAACAGGCAAGGGAGAGACTATCACCAGGCAATTCCCAGAGGTCACCTGAAACCTCTTCTGTGAAGAGATGGTTATTGTGCCTCCAGGCTCTGTAGTTCCTGTGATGCTCATGTAGCCTCAGCTCTGAGGTTGGCTCCCCAGTGACTCGGTCTCCCAGGAGCCTAAGTCTACAGGCTGAAAGGCCTTTTGTCCAAGCACGGGGTCACTCTAAGGGCCAGACCTGAGCACCTCAGTCTTCCCTGGTCATTCCCAGAATAGAAACTCAGAAGACCTGGGCCACCACTTGCTCCATTTTGCAGATGAGACCGAACCCAGGTAGAAGCTGGGCCGCCCCCCCCCCAGCCCCCAACTAGAGAGTAACATGGATGATGACTCCCACCCAGATCTCTCCAGATCTCTTGTAGCCAGAGCAGGTGGTGTGGAGGGCGAGGGCCTGGGCCTACCCACTCACCGCAACACCATTCTGGAGCAGGCTAGGCCGCAGTCCCAGTGGTACAGCTGCTGGATGATGGGCACTGGCAGCTGCACAAAGTCCCCTGCGTGGAAACACATGGCAGTCATAGAACCCTGGGGCAGTACCCACCGCTGCCACCCCTATTTTAGTTGCCATCATTGGCTCCTGCATAGATCCTGTAAGCGCTGTGCAGAGATGGTTCACAGCCCTTTAAGTCTCCCAATCCTTTCTCTTTACAACAGTGATCTCCCCAAAACACCAATCAGAGCAGCTCAGTCTGACTTAAAACCCTCCAGTAGGCTGGTTGTGCTCTTTCTTAGGATACCACTTTCAAGGCTGCTGCCCTGGCACCTCTGCCTCTTTGCCTTTCTTGGCTTTTACCAGGTGCCCTCCAGATAGAATCTTAAGTCCCAGGGCCTTTGAACACCTGCTCCCTCTGCCTAGGCACTCCTGGTCTCCCAGGCCTGAGCTAACTCCTGCCCGAGGATGTCACTTCTCTATGACGCTCCCCTCAAGATCCAAGAGAAAGGGCAGGACCATAGGATGCGAGAGGTACTCCCTGGATATGCATGTTCGAATCAGTGAGGCCCTGAACTGCCTGATTTCAGACCCCCCAGGGCCGCCATGGTATCTGAAGACCATAGCTAGGAGGAGGCTGCCACATATTGTTTGGGGAATGCTATCCTAAACGACCTCTCACTCTGTCCTTGCCAAGTGGTGAGCAGGGCAGGATTCGATTCAGGCTTTCTAGCCCCATCTCTGTCACAGTGGGTGAAGCAACTGAATTGCTCCTGCTGGACTACATTTGGTCATCTCTAAAGTGGGGACTTTGGTCCACTCTGACCATGTTTAACTAATATTTCCTAAGAGCCTAGTAAATGCTGTACCTGGAGATACAATGGTCAGTGACATAGGTCCCTGTCCAGTGGACAGCAAAAACAAGCACATACAAGAGAAAAATGGAGCACTGGGCTAGGGGAAATGGTAGGGGTAGAGCTTGGAAAGGTAAGAATCAGGGAACACAGGCAGAGGGGGGTACAGAATATGCTAAATCCCTGAGGTAGAGGCAAGTCAGCCTGTGGTCTACAGGATCTTCCTACTCTGAGACCCCATGACTCGGGACAAAATTCAGACTAAAGAACCAGGAGGGACTTTCCTATTTCATCTCAGTGGTTCCTGGGACCTCCCTTGAGCCTGAGGCCAGCCTGAACAGAACTGTCCCTGGAGTCTGCCAGCCATGCCAGTCCCAGTCCCCACTGTTGGTACCACCTAAAGGTACCAGTCCTGGAGTCCATCCTGGCCTTCTCACCTGCTAGAGACTGTCTGGGCAGTCCCTTACCTGAAGTGGGCCCCAAGCTCCTGCTCTTCTATGTCTAAACTACCCACCCACCTACACATGCATACTAGTCTTCAAGGTCAGACCTGCGACTGCTCTTTCACTGGCCTCTCTCCCCTCACTCCCTACCCTCAAGGGCCTATGGAAGGCAGGATGGCAGGGGTGAGGACACACCACAAGCCACTTAAATCACCTGAGAGGCAGCTAACCTCTCTCTACTTCTCTGGACCTATGTCCTCTTCTACTCTTGCCCTGCTTCCAAAAGAAACCCAGACCCCTCCTTCAAGGCCTCTGCAATTTCACCTCCTCCCACTGCCACAGATCCAGTCCTGAGGGCTCAGGCCTGCTGACTCCTGCCTGTCTTCGCCCCAAATTCCACCCCTCCTCTCCCATGTCTGTACATAGCAGCCACAGGGATCCCATCCACAATTTCTCTTTGCTCAGGATAACATTCTTACCCTTTACCATGACCTACAGGTACTGCCCAACACATGGTGCACCAACCTCACCTTGGCCCACTACTCAATGTGTTTTAGGAACCCAGGGAACCCATCAAGCATCATTCCACGCCAGGCCTTTACACATGCAGCTCTCTGTAACTCTGACTCCTGTTCTCAAAGTTGTTCTTTTTCATCATTCAGGTTTCAGTTCAAAGTTTCTGAGTAGCTTCTCTGACTATGCTTTGGGTGGGGGTGCTTCCTTCACAGCATCGGTTTGTTTACTTTGCAAATGTAACAAACATAAAGATAGCTTGTTTCCTCACTATATATAAGCTATCTGAGGGCAGAAAATTTGCTAGTCTTTTTCCCTGTTATTCCCAGTGCTGAGTATCTAGTGGTTAATAGTAACTCAATAAACATTTGTTGGGGGAAATGAATTTAAGTTAACCCTGACTTTGTCTTCCAGTGATTCCTTTTCCAAAATAATTTCCCCAAAGGGTCCAGTGGAGAGTTGTATAAATACCATTTTTGTCCCCTCATGGTGGGGTGTCTCCCTTTCTAAGAACCCCTTACCATGGTCATAAATTAGTGCCTTTTTGTTTTTCCTTCATACACAAGTGCTTCGCTCCTCAGCTCCTCAGTTTTTGCTCTTGTATATCCCTTAGCCTGGCATGTTGCCTCTGAATTTCCAAATCCTTTCCCTCTCCGAGCCCCTGAATACAGAGTACCTGACGAGGTGTCTGTTCCTCACTGGTCAGAAATCCTCAGTGGCAGGTGGGGAAGAGGCTTACAATCACCTCCTCCTAGTCCACAGCCCAGAGCAAGCACTCAAAGTCTTGATGGAAGTCTTTTTTCCAAAAGGGTCTTATTCCTTGAGATGCCTTGGGCCTACTCACCCTCACCCCTCAACCTTTCAGACTGTTCACATTCACAGCTTCTTCCTTACTCTGAGCCTGGGCTCTGATACCAACTAGCTGGGCTGTCTCTGTCTGTGCTACATATGTGGCATAGGAAAGCTGTTATCCAGGGCCCTTGGGAACTTCCCTGCCCTTCTGCCCCTCCTCTTCTTGCCTTGCTCTCTGAAACTCCTTTGATCGTGGGGCCCTGCAAGCCTTAACATCCCCACTTGGCCATCCCAAGTCTTGGCATTGGCAATTAGCCCACAGGGATACTGAGATACTTCTGTGGGCAGGTGATAAGGGTAGGCAAGGCCTTCCAAACCCAAAGCTGTTGCCTGATGTTGATGCCTGGAGTTAAGGGACGGCCCTATCTGAGAGCTATGGCTTCCGGGAAGGCCCTGACCTGGCATCACTTGGCAGCTGTCATCAAGGAAGTAGGCAACTCACTGACCTTGGTAATTAACCCCTCTGAGCCTCAGTCTGCTCATCTGCAGAAACGAATGTAATGATCTTCTGGGGTTGTTATGAGGATTAATGAGACACTGCAACACAGTGCCTGCATATTAAAAACTCCCTATGAATGTGAGCATCCACTGGAGTTCAGGAAAACCAGGTGCTTCATGGGCCAACATCCCAGAGTTGGGGGTTCAGAGATACAAATCCCAGTATAGCATCAGACCCTACCCCATGCTGCAATCACAAGAGACCACCCCCTATGTGACACCATGGTCCCACTGATACCTTAGGATTGGGGTCCCATATGCTCCTCACATCTCCCGTAAGATGGCTCCTCACGTTGTTTACTAGTACTTTCTCTTTCTCATCAACCCTGAGCCTTGAGCAGGACAGGACTCACTACTTCCCCACCCCACCCCACCCCCACGCACTGAGAGAAGCAAACTGAGGGCCAATCTTGGTTTCTACCTAAAGGAACTCAGGTCATTTCAGACAGAAGGAACAGCAGCTGAAGAATAGCAGCAAGACAAAAACGCTGAGTCTGGAAGGTTAAAAAAAGGGGTTCTCCCATTGCCTTGTGTTCTCAGCCAGTTCCCTGCCCTTCTAGGCCTCAATTCCCCTACAGTTCCCAGCGGGATTATTTCCCCAGGTGGCTCCAGAAGGACTAGACACTTCTGGGTAAGGTGGCACCTTCTTACAACCAGCACCCTCCCCTCAGGACAACTGTAACAGCTGACATGGGGTTCCAGCCCAGGAGTCTCAAGAAGCCCCAAGTGACCCGGGCTGGGGAGCAGAAGGGCCAAAGCGAGTGTGTACACCTGGCCAGGTTTCGCCTGAACCTCTACAGCCTCGGCAGAGGTGGCGGTCAGCCCAAGGTCGCGCGGCCGGACCCTGCCCCGCGCTAGGGCGGGGTTCCCCTAGCTTCCCGGGGTGAGGGCTGAGGCCTAGGGAAGCACTAACCCGGCTCGAGCTGCTGCCCCGCTGCCTCCGCCTCCGTCCTCATGACCCGGGCGGCGCGGGGCGCCCATGGCCCTGGCCCCGCGCCGGCAGCAGCTTCGGCTTCGGCAGAGGCGGGAGAGGGACCGCTGCGTGTCGGGTTCCTCCGCGGCACCAGAAACCGCGGTGAGCAGAGGAGGCGGCGGCTGGGCCACCCCAAGCCCCGCCCCGGCCCTGCCAAGGCTCCGCTCCTGGCCCCGCCCCTCCCCAGGCCCCGCCCCTCCCTGGGCCTGGGGTTTGGGGGCCCCCTCCTGATTTCCTCCGGATTACGATCCTAGAGGCCCAACCCCTTAAACCCGTCCCAGCCAATCGCTGTCTCGGTTGCTGGTCACCACGCCCCTTCCCTCCCCATGTCCAGGGGCGGATGGACAGACACTGCTCCACCCCCGTGCCGGCCCCTTTCTCTGAGCCCCGCCCCGGGGCCCTAGCGTTCCGCGAACTTAGCCGAGAGGTTCTTCCTCAGCAAGCTCCTCCCCTGCCCCCGCCCTGCTTCTTGACCGGGCGCCGGGCTAAGGCTCGGTTCTACCCTAAACATAGCGCGGCTCCTGGAGACCTAGCTCTACTCCGACCCCCACGAGGGACGACCTCGGGCCGACCTTCGCTATACTCCATACCTCAGTTTCCCTTTGCGCACGGTGAGATACCTCGCCTCGCTTCAGGGGACCCCTTACCTGGAGGTGCCGGGTCCCAAGCGTTAAATTGTGAGGGGAGGGCCTGGCCCTCGGCCCCATCGCCTGCCGCCCCGGGTCCAAGGCCCCAGGAGCCAGATTCCCGCCTTGCGAGCCAACCCGGCCCTAGCGTGGAGTGTTTGGATACACGAGCCCCCCTCTCCCATCGCCGGCCCGAGGGTCGGTGTTTCCGGCGGCAACCAGGTCCGGTCATCAGCCTTCTTCCGGGGCCGGAACTATCGTACCAGAGCAGACGTTTCCCAGCCGGCGGAGTGAGGAGGAAGCGGAGGCGGTACCGCGCTCAACACTAGGAAAAGGAAGGGTGCAGGTCGTGCGCGCGGCATTTTGGGAACGCGTGGTGTTCTGGGAGCGCTGGGCCCGCCATTCGCTGGTTTCACGCCTTCGCAGCTGCCTGAGTCGCCGCCACACGAGAGAAAGGGAGGCCGGAGCCGGTGAGGAGAGGCTGGGGTTTGGCGAGGGGAGGCCGAGGTACTCGTGAGAGGGGTCGGGGGCTGGAGAAGGACGAGCTTCGGAGAAGCCCTGCCCATCTGGGGAAGGGAAAAGAGCGGGAAGCCCGGGCCATCCAAATGTCTGCGTAGCCACTTTAGAGCCTGGAAGTGAATTCATTAGCTTTTCCCCCAGAGTACGTGCACTTTACTTTCTGAAACTTCCCCAAGTTAGTGTTTTTTGAAGCATCCAGGCAATAGCCTTGAAATAACTTGGTTGTTTGCTCCTTCCCCCAATTCCTATTCAGGTTAGTTTTCAACGTTCTTTGCCGCTGTCTCTACCTACCTTTTAGACATAATAAATACAGCGGTTTTATCAAGTGTTTCTGCTTCTAAACTGTTTCAACTTTCTAAGTACTGCCACGCTTTTATTGGATCGTGCCTTATGTATAATCCTGCAGTGGCTTCCCAGTATCTGCAAGTTAGGAGCTTACCCTGGTTGTTTTTCTTAGGGGAAAAAAAAAATTCCTGTTTGTAATCGGTGTGCGCTGTTAATTTGAACCACCGCAGGTTCTAGTCCCACAAAGATGTGAAAAGGAATTCGCAGACATTTTAGATACGTAAGCGGAGAGAAACTAAGTTTAAGAAAGTAAAGTTTATTTAAAGGCAGAAAGTTAGGACTCCCCTACTTGGGAGTTGCAAGGAAGCCGGGTGGGCCTGTATCTCCTGGTATTTAAATCCTTCTCCCCTCCCCCCCCATTCTAAAATCTCATCATCCTATTTTGTGATTGGCTCTTTATCCCAGTGGCTATACTCTTAGGGGCAGATGTGCCCGTTTTCCCAGTTTTTATCCCAGAGTTTCTCTTTTTTATTTCCCCTGTCTAAGGTCTAAAATTTACTGCCCCAATTAGTCCAAAATTTCAGCTTTAAAATTTTCTGCCCTTATTAGCCCTCTTGAATTTGGCTGCTCTTATCTCAGAGGCCTCCCTTAACTCTGGAAGCCCCCACCTGCGCTGTCCCTAAAGCTGCCTGTTTAACCCTAACTTGCCCTGGGCTCCAATACCATACGGTCACTTTGTGAACACTTTTGATATTTTCGCTTAATCTTTTCTTGGTGGTGAAGTAAACAGAAGAAGCAAAGGGCACTTAGTAGACTGAATTAAATGCGCTGCCTCTTCTGCTCTTGATTCTTCAATCTGTATCTCCATGACCCTGTCACCCAATAGTAGCAACATGTGAGTGTTGAGCATTTGAAATATAGCTAGTGTGACTGAGGACCTGACTTTTTAATTTGAATTTTATTTCAATTTAAGTTTAATTTAAACAGCTACATGAGCCCAATGACCACTGTGGATAGCTCAGATTTTGTTATGGGTTCACAAAGGGATGTTACCCACAATTATGAGTTGACAAACGTGTTGTACTATACATAAATTTTAATTCTTCCCCCAGTACATACTAGTATCTAGTGGTTATTTGATGAACTTAAAGGGATAAATGGTAGCAGGGAGGAAAATGGGAAGCACATTCCTTGTGTTCCCATTAGCTTTCCTTCTATCCAGCCCCCACTTTCCTTTCCTCATCTTGCATGTATTTGCCAGAGAGGTTCATCATGCTAGGAGTTAAGCTCCTTTTTCTATTGAAAGTACAACTCTGGCATTTTTGCTAAGTTTTATGGAATATCAGGCCTTCGGGGAAACATGGTGTATTCCACATGCCTTCATGCTCTAAGAGATGAACTGATTGTCTTCTTTCTTACTGTAGAACTTTCTTCCTGCCAAGATGTCTATTGGTGTGCCAATTAAAGTCCTCCATGAGGCTGAGGGCCACATTGTGACTTGTGAGACAAATACCGGAGAGGTGTATCGTGGGAAGCTTATTGAAGCGGAGGACAACATGAACTGCCAGGTATCCTGTTTTGCACATGACACTGTGGGGGAGCTTGCGCCTTTGTCTTGGAGGATAGAAAAGTGGTGTTTACAGGACTGTTAAAGCTGTTCTGATTCAGCAGGTGATTATTGAGTGCCTAAGGCATGCCAGGCACTGTTTTCAGTGCTAGGGGTGTGGACATATATCAGACTTACTTAAAGTTCAAAATATTTAACCTCATGTTTTGTTTTCTTCATCCCACAATTTTTTCTCCCGTTTTTGGGGCACTTTAAGAGAAATAGTACTACTCTCTTTGGTAGAATCTTCTAGGTTCAGGACCATTATCCATTTGCCTGTTTGTTTACATAATCCTTTGCATTTAGCATAATCTTCCACTTATGTGGTATATTTATTTTCCATTTTTCTTGGGGAAGGAATCCTCTTAGATTTGAGGTACACCTTTGAAATATTGTGGTTTTTGACTCTGGGCTATGGCAATAAAAGAAGTCACACAGATTTTTGCCTTCCCAGAAAAGTTATGTTTACACTAGTGTTTAGTGTATTAAATGTGCAATAGTGTCATGTCTAAACAAATTTTATTTAATGTGCAAAAATACTTTATTGCCGAACAAAAGTATAATCACAGCTGAGCCTCTAGAAAGTTACATTCTTTTTACTGGTGGAGGGCCTCGAAAAAAACAAAAACTAAAAAGGCAGCATGTGTAGCACACAATCAAGTAAGACAGGCCTAAAGAGCAGTTACCCACAAGGTGAGCAGATTTGGTGATAGTTTTGTGATCCATAAAATTGGCAGAATAAAGTTAAAGGGCACATCTCCTAAATATCTCTCTGCTGATGTTGGAGCAGCTTCCTGGTGTAATGCCCTTCCTGTGACACTTACTGTGCCTTTCACTGATAGTGACAGCCTTACTTTGCAAGGTATGCCAGCACATTTCTTTAAACAATAGGTTAAGAGCTTGGGCTTAGGAATCAGAGATGTGGCTTTAAATCCTAAATGTATGACCTTAAGGCATATTAATCACCCCAGTTTCTCCGTCTGAAAATACGGTGTGGTGATCTTCTGTGTACTAATACATAGGTGTTAAGATTGGACCAAGCGATTTATTGGGGGAAATAACAATAAAGGAGGAGCAGGCGAGCTAGGATGCTGGATTAACTCTGATGAAAGCAGAAAGGCCAGGAAGAAAGATTGAGTAGGATGAACCGTAGACGGGAGCATATTTCTGAGGCAGAGGTTGCTAGATAGGAGTCTAGTATGGGGCAGAGGTAGCCTGGTTCTAGCACCCTCACTGGCCCATCACTTACTGGCAGCCTGGGAAGAGAGTGGCATCAGGTGAGTGAATGACTTGGATCCCAAAGGAAGTAGCTGGAGACTGTTGACTCCCTGTACTTCTTACAGCCTGCTGAATCTTGAAGGGAGCTCTGAGCGGTGCATTTCCTAGACCACGGTAAGGATAACATCCACAGCTAGGGCAGTCTCAAAGATCAGATGAGTTATGTGTCAGATGAGTTATGTGTGTTCAGCATCTTCGCACCATATACTTAACTGTCAGCATGAGATACCTGTTAATAGTCAGAGAGGTAAATGTCCTAACTGTCCATTTTCTCAGTGTTCGTTCATTTGTAATTTTTTTTTAGAGCTTTGAGCATCATTTTCCTTCCAGGTGGACTAATTGGGGCAATTTTTGGTGTTTATGGATGTTACACATCTGATAACTATAGATTTCTCTCCTCTATCAGTGCTTTAGAGGGCTCTCTGAAAGTCCTATGGGGCAGAGACCCCCTTTACCTTGTGATGAAACACTAGTCAGATCAGTACTCTTTATCCGTCGTTTTTTGTTGGCTTAATACATCTTTACCCATTCTAAGGTAATTTTATTTGGTGAGAACAAGGTAAAATGGAGGTTAGTGAATATGAATGAGATTTCTCGGCTTTTTTTTTGTTTTAGATTTGCTTTTTTTCAAAGATTGATTTGTTTATTTATACATACAGAACTGGGGTACAGGCCACAGGTGCAGGGCCAGTGAGAGGATTCACCAGAGACAGAGTGGGGCGCAGAACAGGCAGATCTACAAAGTACACTGCTGAGGGGAGCAGCAGGCAGGTCAGGAGAGGTCTGCTGTGCCATGTGGATCACCTCTAGGCGGGGATTGAACTCGCACTGAAGAGGCTGCA